ATTTATTTATTTATTTAATCAGCAAATCAGCAATATGTTCACATGTCGTTTCTTATTCATATGTATGGTCTTATCCAGGTTGGAATCAAGCCGGGTGACGTGGTGATTATATTGGATGAACAGCAGCATGAAACATTTGTTCGGAGAGGAGCTAATTTGGTGATGCAGTTGAAACTGACTCTAGTTGAGGCGTTGTGTGGGTGCACGAAGTTTGTGAAAACACTCGACAATCGATATCTGATATTCTCTATACTGCCTGGTATTTGACTAATTCAGTTGTTCATTGCTTCATTCGCTAGATAGGTTGTTGATGAGAGTTTTATTGTTTAGGTGAAGTGATAAAGCACGGTGATATGCGGACTATATTGGGCGAAGGGATGCCACACTACAAGAATCCATTCGAGAAGGGTGATCTGATCGTGCAGTTCGATGTGACATTCCCGAAGTCGATCGCAGCCAATAAGATGGATCAGTTGAAGAAATTATTGCCAGATCGTGTTGATCCGATCATACCGGACGGTGCGGACGAGGTGGATCTGGAGGTGATTAGCGAGAGAAGTCGTCACTCTTCCTCTTATTATGATGAACAGCAAGGTGGTGGGCCTGTTAGATGTCAAACACAATAGCCTGTTGATTGTTAATGAAACAGACTTTGGTCTTTTGATGTTCGTTCGAACATTTGACAAAATTTTTTGTTCACTTCTTCACTTGGGTATCGCTTTTAACAATAACAATTGTAACGACAGTTAATCATTTTTGAAAGGTGGAAACTCGAAATAATGTTGTTATATTTGCTGTTTGTGTTGATTATTGCCATTATTCATGAGGTGTATTCCGTATTCATTCATCGATTAGTCTTATATTAAATTGTGTTCTGTGAAGATGATTTTGAGTCGGTTTATATTCGTAATGCATTCTGAAAACTTTTCTTGTTGGAACTCAAATTGCAAATATTATCTTAAAATTGAATTCGAATGAATCCTTCTTCGCTCTTCTCTCAGCATTCCGGCGTCACTCTCCATATGCATATAGGTCACTGATGATAGTATTTCACACAAGTTTGATGCGTTTGCTGTTACATTTCTTCAATGTTTGTTGCGTTTTGTAACCCTTTTTAGTGAATACTGATTTGGTTTCATTGAAGGAAGGGACGTTAATTCGGTGTGAAATATTGATATGGCTTTACATGAATATATCATCTTGATAATTTTAATCGCGCATTGAATTGACGCAGTGAATGATGAGTCGATTGTTTCGAGATCAATGCATTCGTCTCTTTACTTAATGATCATGAATCATCTATGAGTGTGTCAAAGAGTATCTCATTTCAATGATACATAATATTGATAAAATTATTATTGTTAGAAAAGAAATGAATCATTTATTCAACGCAATACAAATGACTGTTATTCACTGAGTGTGCTTGTTAATTCAGCATTGTGGTCATTGAGTAACGAACTGAAGTAACGAACTGAAGCATTTGCTTTATTGGATTGGATTGTCAACAGTACGTTGATAAATGACAGTAGGTAAGAAGAGACGAAAGATGTATGAGTAGTGAAGGCACTGAAAAGAGGATGAATACAAGCCAGAAGTGATGGACTGGGTGTGCATCGATGATGAATTTGAATAAGGAAATTGAGGCGATGAAGTGGATGATGAGTGCGGAGAGTGCACGTGCTTGGGATGGTAGTTGCACGAGCAAGAGTAATCCTTCGAGCAAGCACAACACTATCGACGCTGATAAACAAATTATCAGTGACGTTTCTGCATCGCTGTAGTCGCGTTCGGTCCATCCATCGACTGCCAGCGAGGAAAGCACGTTGTCGGGCTGTAATCGAATTTGATTCATCCTGATACATCATCTACAAAAACAATGCAAACTTACAGTGTCCCAAAGTGCAAGAGCTAGCAGTACTCCGTGAGCAGTTAATGTCAGAAAGTATG